TAATATTAAACTTACCTTGGACTTTTTCGGCCAAATATGGCTTTTGAATCCCACATTTTTGGTGATTAAATAAAATAATTAAGTAAAATATAAAAAACAACATATATAGGTCTATTGCAAACAAATGCAGAGGGTACCTTGCAGTAATTACGAAGCAAACCGAACATTTGCTAAAAGTGGGGACCATAGAAATACAACGGCTTTATTTAAGTCTTTAGCATTTGATCATCTATTTCTTTTTCCCAAGTTATAACTTGGTCTCTTTATATTACACATGTATGACAGAAAGGGTAAGAGGTGGATCTCGTATTTTACGCATTTGTTAATGCTAGTTCGTCAATTTGCCTAAGTCAATCAAAGAAAATAATATTAAGCCTTTTATATATTTCTGTATCTAGGCCCGTAAAGCTGGATTTCGCCTTTCGACGGTTGCAGATGCCTTTGCCTATCAGCCTTTGTCAAAATCCAACAGTTCAGATTCGGATACACTAAACGTAACAAGCCGAGCGAGACTCTTCTCTCGATCATCATTATCGGCATCTAACGAGAAAGCTTTCGCACTCCGCGATGACAAGCGGGAATCGGGTCCGGTCACATCAGAGTTGGTTTCTGCATCACGAGATCTTCTTTTTGCCGTAGCAACTGCTCTTATACTGGCAGACAAGATTGTTATGAAACGAATTCTTCTTGTACAAAAGAAGGTATATCATTTATATTTTTTACCTGAAAAAAGTTCCTAGAATTGCGTCAAATCAAATAGCTCAGTCGTCCTTCACAATATTAATCGGCCTTCGTGCCTCTGAACCTTCCTTGGCTTTTAGCTAAGGCCTTGAAGTTAATTTTTCTGTTTGTTTTCACACTTTATTTTTCGTTACCTTTTTTGCTTTCAACTTTACTGAGAATGGCCATCTTGCATTTTGCGTGGTGACCTGCTCAACTGGAGCAAAAAAATGTTCTTATTTACCACAGGATTTCTGCGCAGCTAATATCGTATTTGAACACATTGATTTCTGACAATTTAGCATCTAAAACTTATTCCATTCCCCTTTTACGGCCTAGTTTATGCGTATATCCCACATGCTCGAGAAAACACTTTAGAAAGTTGAGGAATAAAAGAGAGCAAATTTCACAGTAAACGCCTATCTGAATTTCTGCTTTTGGGTTAGATGCGCTACCACAAGTTAAAATCGTCATCTGATCGGTTGGCCAGGACTCATATCTTATATAAGAATTTGGGTCGTATCCTCTAATCGAGGGACGTATTGACATCAGTTTATTATTATATTAAATATATTTGGGTCAGTACTTAAGAAATTTTTATTTGTGCTTCGTTAAGTATGAATTTTTGCTGCGACATATATTATGCCATATTATAAGCTTTTGATACTTATACCTGTTCCATAACCTATCAAAGTAAGTCTTTGCTGACCATCATTTCCTTATCATAGATCTCTGTTTGTGATATTCTTGCTAAGATTATTATAATAATTTAATTAGAGAGAGAAAAAATTTATCAAGAATTGATATTCACAGGCAATTTGATTCTCTTAATATATATTCCGATCAGAATATTAAATTGCCTTCTAAAATATTTAGACCAATGATCTAAGCTAATTCTCGAGTCATATAATTCGGCTGCACAATGTGCATCCGTTATTTCAAATATTTCCGACAAATTTTAGCTAGCGATCATCTGCCATTTGATATTGCCCCTCCTGCCAACAAAGAGGACAACAATTTAAGTTGCCTGAAATCCAGTGCTTAAATGCCTAATCTCTGTCCAGATTTAGGTAAGGCTCAAATGGATCACTGCTTATTTGCCATTGCCACTTATTCGATGTTAATCTACAAATTAATAAACATAAAACCCCACATTGCATTTACATTCTGTTTTCTTATTGAAAAT